ATTTCTGTCAATAATTACATCACTTAGAAACATTGAGAGTTCGGAAACTTAACAAATTTTAGTAAAATTTTTAGATGGAGAGATAATCTTTGTTAAAAAAAATATGTACTCTTTAAAAATGTTATTTTCCATATTCTTAGAGATGTGAGCTTTTTAAAATTATTTTTATATAATATTTCTATAAGTATATATTAAGTAAAATGTATATTAAATATAATTCTATTAGTATATTAAAATTTTAAATTATTTATAATTTATTATATATTAAATATTTATTTTTAAATACATTATAATAAAGTTTATATTTAATATTATATATAAATAATAATTAATAAATTTTTATAAAATTAATAATTGAAAATATTTATAATTTAAGAAAAGGAAAAAATATTAGGAAATTTAAATATTAATATTGTATAAGATGTGAAACTTTATATTTTAAAAATATTTATTACATCATATAAATAATATAATTAAAATGTGATAAAATTAATAATTTAAAATGTAATGCAAAAAAATTTTCATGACATTGCGATACATAATTTGCATTTTTTAATGTATATTTCACGTGATTTGCATGAAAATGAATTTTTTAACCGTGTTTGTTGTTTTAAATTTCACGAATTTCGATGTATTTTTTTTATTATATTGGCCAAATTAATTTGCTAAGAAGGCATCGTGTGATTCTTGGCATACGTAATTAAAACGATGCAGTGGTGTTAGTTGAAAATAATTTAATTCCGTCGCGAAGCCGCCGACGGCTAAAGTAAGAAAAAAGAAAGGAACAGGAGAAACGAGAGATTGCAACCGTCTCACTGTGTGTATTTTGGTAACGAAGCCCTCGGTCCGCGGAATTTCCATCTTTTCTTTCTCGAAACGCGAACGCGATGTTTCCAAGCACACATGCTTTCAAATTCTTCAAGGATTTAATTTCTTTCGGCGCGAACACATCTTTTTCATATGAATACGTTTGCATATTATAATGTTGGAAACATATTTATTTTTAGATACAACGAGGTTTTTCTATTAAAATTTCCTCGTTTTGTTTTATCCTCGTTTTGTGAACTTAGCACCTGACATTTAAAAAATTAATGTTTTTATATGGAAAATATGATTCAAGATATTTTTCATATATATTATATATTTATAAATATTTTAATATAATAAATTGTAATATATTATTATATATTTATAAATTAATTTATTTCTTTTATAAATTATTTAATTATTTAATTATAAAATAAATAATTTATTTATTTTGCAATTATTTTTTTAATTTATAAATTATTATATATTTATAAATATTTTAATATAATAAATTATATATATAACTTTAAATTTTAATATATTTATAAAAAATTATATAAAAATAATTCTTTTTCTTGATGCAAATTATAAATTTTATGACGAAACTTTGTGTTTAATAAAGAAAAAGAATGCTACGTAAAAAAAAATAATTTTTATTCAAGAGAACGCACTTTCTTTCGTCATAAAAAAATAATATCCTTTCTAAAAAATTCTTCATAAAAATTATTTCTTCATAAATTTCGCGAATAGAATTAATTCCTGTTACGACAAATGCATTATCCTATGATGTTTATTAATTTTCCCCGCAATGCGTTCGTGATGTAATCCCGACCTCTGTTATGTCGATCGGTCCGTTTAAGACTCACGCGAGACAGGTGTATTTTTTTTGTTTTGCTTGCCGTAAACGTAAATGCTCGTTATGCAAAATTCATAATATGCGTATGCGGTTCGCGCACTATTTATAGACTACGCAGGAATGTAAGTTTGGTGAGATTAGGTAAACCGTTTGCGCACTAGCGTTTTTATATAATTAACCTTCGCGGTGTTATTCGCCGCGCGGTATATTGCATTCCCGTATATTGCTCACGCGATAACCGGCTCGGATAACGGGTCCTTACGCAGCCTGTATTAATTCATCGCTCTCTCGCTATGAATTGTATCCCGATCATCGATCTCCTACAACTTTGAATTTGCATTTCCACCCCTTAGATCGAGGAGTAATAATCAGATTTTGATCAAATATCAAGGCTAAAATGATCAGGAATCTTTCGAAGAACAAGCTTTATATTGGCTTATTTTTTAATAATTATTTATGGTTTTTTGATGAAATAATACAAGTTAATGTAATAGAAAATAATGTTATTAATATATTGTATTTTTTTATACCAATTCCTCTCATTATTTTGTGGGTAAAAGTATTGAAATAAGATAAGTGAAAAATAAATAATTTTGCGAGATATTTCATTTTATATAAAATTATCAACTTAAAATATCTCGTAAATTATATATTCAATTTTTGACCAGCCTTATAATTTTTTACATGGAATATTGTAAGAAATCAATAATTAATTTTTTATATAAATTTATTTGTTTGATTTAAATATGAATAATTTTTTGAAATTTAATTAAATTTAAATAATTTATTAATTATGAATAATTGATATTTAAAATAATAATTTTAATGAAAATTAATTATAGAAAATTTATGTAATTATTAATAAGACTAAACTTAATGAAGTTCTCATGTCCATCTCGAAATCACAAAATTTTTTTGAAACGCAACATTTTTCGACGGAAGCCTTGGTTTTCGAAAAATATCAATGCACTATTTAAAATGATTCATCCTTTACAAATTATATATGCTTTATGATAATAATATGATAAATGATATATGTGCTTTCTTCCGAATAAGCGAGCAACTCGATGGTTTTATCTCCGCTTTATATCGCTAGAAAAAATTTTGAGAGTCACTGGCAGGCGAGTTTCTTCGTCGCAACAAGAGAAACGAAACCGGAAACTACCGTCGCGTGTATTTCGGTAACAGAGGTTCCGGTAACGGAGGATAGGCGGGGAGAACCGAAGAAAAGGCCGCCGCAAAATTCCAGGGCGACGGTCTCTCGCTTCTCTGCTACAGGGGTGGAATGGTGGAATTCAATATATACAGGGTGTTTCTAAAACTATGTCGGAGATTTTAAGGTCGTATTCTAAGGATTAAAATAAGAAAAAAAGCTCATATAAACATGAGTCCAAAAATGCTTTTCCTCCGAGTTATAGCCCCCTAAAGTTGAGGGAAAAAATCGAAAAATATATTGTAACTCTCAGAGACTTTTTCATAGAACGTTAAAGTTTTGCACAGCGTAATAATTAATAATGAGCTTCATTTTTATGTGGTTTTGACCATTTTTTCCCTCAACTTTAGAGGACTATAACTCGGAAGAAAAGCATTTTTGGACCCATGTTTATATGAACTTTTTCTTATTTTAATCCTTAGATACGCCCTTAAAATCTCCGACATCGTTTTAGAAACACCCTGTGTGTGTATATATATATATATATATATATATATATATATATATATATATATACACATGGTGGCAAAGAAAAGAAGAACGGCCGCGATTCGTGCGTGTCAGACGTATAATCAGACGATTATGCTTTCGTAATGATAGGCCCGAATTCCGAGTAAACCGTGGATACCTTCTTATACGCGTTCTATGGGTAGTCTATGGGAAATTTCTGACGCTCTTCAAATAAAAAAAAGAAAAAAGAATTGGCGACAGCTTCAATTGCGGTTTCAATGGTTTCGTTCCCTTTTTTGTTTTTTCGAGTCTCGATCATCTTAATAATCGAAGACGTTTAATTGTACCTTTGGCTTTTATGTAAGCATCCCAGAAACTTTTCAGAAATATTTATATTTAATTTTATTATATTTATTATATTTTATTATATTTAATTTCTACATCCTTTCTTTTTCTCCCTTTTATATTTAGCAAGTTATTATTGATCCGATCTCGAATAATGTATTATTCGGATATAATAACAACCCAAAGTATTATTATGACTTGAATTATTACATGTGAACATAATTAAATTAAATACAATATTAAATATATTTAATATTGCATTCAATAAAATGATATATATTCCATGTTTATATGAATAATTGAATGAAATTAAATCAAAACATACAGTGGAATGTTAGGGTCACATTGGATTGTTACAATGGATTGCTTACGTTCACATATTTTTCTACGACATGTAAGAAGCACGCCATTGTTTACTTAATTGTGTAGCTGTAACTGCTTGTGATGATTCTAAAGGACAAAAGGAATTTATGATTCGCATGTCGTAAAGTATCTTTATGAAAATGAATTACGTATACTTTGCGTATATTGTTAAAGTAGCTATTAAAAAAATATATATAATTATAATAATAGATAATTTATTTAATGAATGTGATTAAAATTTGTGGAAAAATATGTTCGTTTTCTCGTGCGAAATCTTCTTTTTTATTATATCATTATTCACCATTTTTATTATATCATATTCTGTATATATTTTGATTTAATTTTATTGAATTTTATATGAATTATATTCATATAAATATTCTATGTATCATTTTATTGAATACATTTATTAAATATATTTAATAATACATAATATATTATTATAAAGAAATAAATTATATATAATTTATATAATATATTTAAAAATATATATAATATTATAAATAAATAAATTAATAATACATATTATAATAATATAATATGTATTACTAATTTACTTATTTATAATAATAATAATTTTATATCATATGAAATTTCAATATATATATATATATATATATATATATATATATATATATATATAAGTACTTATTACGTGAAGAAATATGAAATATAATATAATCCTAAAGAACCGTAAAAAAGATGATGCATAAAAATACGCAAAATATAATTCTAATTATCGATATCATCAGTTTTATTCTTCTCTTACTTTTATTTATAAAACGAACGCAATTTTAAAGAATACGCAGCCATACCAGTAGCTGGATGCATCGCGTCGCATCGGATCACGAAGAGGGTGAACGCGCGTCGGGCGGTGGCTCGGCGACGAGTGTCGCGGAGCGCTGCTCTAAAACAGGGCCGTTACGCATGCGCGCTTCCTCTTCGCGCGCTCTCCCTCCCTCGAGACGCGCGGATAGGGAGAGCGGCGGGGTGGGGGGGTGCGCGCCTCCTAATCCCGAGTCGCCCTACGCGCCGCTAGTCGCACGAGAGCCTTCGACGTGTGGAGGTGTCTCCTCGCGCTCCGCGTGCGTTACCGCCGCTCGCTCGCTCGCTCTCTCTCTCTTTCTCTCTTTTTCTCCCTCCCCCCGTGTTTTCCCCGACCCCGTGCGACGACGACGACGACGCATCATCATCATCATCATCACTGCCACTAGTAATAGTAGTACAACACTGCCGAGTGCGAACGCGCGCGCGATCGCGATATATCGTGATACATACATCGCGGCGACGATCGGAGTGCACTTCACACCGCGACGAGGACGAGAGTGCTCGTTCGCGGTGTCCTCTCTCTCTCTTTCTGTTGTCGCGTGTTCTCTGTGTGTTCTCCGTGACGCTACGTAATACGCTCGCAACACTGCCGGAAGCGCGCGCTCGAGCAAACAGCCGCAAACAAACGTCGGGGGTGCCATGGGACGTCGCTGAAACGTCACGTCTCTCGAAACGACACGGCGGGTCGGGAACGGAGGAGGAGCGCAGCCAGGAACGAGCGAGGATCAGGACAGGAGGGGGACTTGTGTGTACGCTTGATCAGGAAGGAGGAGACCCCCCGAATATACTCGACGACGCGACATCGAGGTTTAAATCGTCATCGCAAGCCCCGCCGCTGGGAGATTTAAATGGTGAGTGTGCCGCGTGAAGTTGACTACGCGTCGCGTTGCAAGTTCGCTCCTCAACCGTGCGCACGACGCTCATCTCTCGCGACGCTCTTCTCCGTTTATTACCCCTGCGCTGCACCCATCGGGCCCTTCAACCCTTCTCCCTTCATTTTCCTCTGTCTCTCTCTCTCTCTCTCTCTCTCTCTCTCTCTCTCTCTCTCTCTCGCTCTCTCTCTGTCTGTCTTTTTCCTCCTCTCCTCCCCCTCTCCTTTTCCCCATCTCTTTCGAATCGGAGCGGGAATTTTTGGCCAAGTCCTCCGATCGATGCCTCGGGGACGACGCTTTCGTGTACCGCCCTCGGCTCAACGCTCGTCCTTTGACCCTTTTGCCGTGCAAGCGGCATGCGCGCAGGGCGCAACTCCTCGGAAGGGCTCGCTCGTTCGTCCTCGACGCGCCGAGGGCTCCGAAATATCCGATCTGTACTTGCCTCGTCGTTTATCGTTCGATTTTACCGCATCGCTCGAAAATGAAAGTGATACTCTTTAAATGACGTAATAAGAGAGATTCCGTAAATCCGAGATATTTAAATACGTAATATTTTAATGGATTTTATGACCATCGGAGTCGAGCTTTCAACGAAAAAATTGTATTCGTTTAAAAATTACTCGACGAATTCAAAAGTTTGAATTCTTTTATAGGTGTGTTATTGGTTTTTTTTAATTTTATTCAGCAAATTTTATTTGCCAAGGTACACGGATCATATTTTTTTTATTACTAGATTGTATCGTGAATATCGTAAACATTACCGATTTTTGGAGAAATTTGAATTTTTAAATATTTAAAACATTAAATTTACATATGTAAATATTTAAAATATTAAGTTACATATGTTAAAACATTGTGTAAACAGTATCAGAACAATCTGTTTGGACACTTACACTTTCGTGTCGCGCAAGAAATTTGGCAAATTTTTTTTGCCAAAGTGTACGGATCATATTTTTTTTATCACGAGATTTTATCGTGAATATCGTAAACACTACAGATTTTTGAGAGATTTGAATTTTTAAATATTTAAAATATTAAATTTCAGACCAATTAAATTATCGAATTAAATTTATTTCCTTTAGAAATAAATTTTATTTTATAAATTAAGTGTTAAATACATGTTTACATATTTTAAAATATTGTGTAAATAGTATCAAAAAAATCTGTTTTGACTCTTACACTTTCGTGTCACGCAAGAAATTTGGCAAATTTTTTGCCAAAGTGTACGGATCATATTTTTTTTTATCACTAGATTGTATCGTGAATATCGTAAATACTACAGATTTTTGAGAGATTTGAAATTTTAAATATTTAAAATATTAAATTTCAGATCAATTAAATTATCGAATTAAATTTATTTCCTTTAGAAATAAATTCTATTTTATAAATTATGTATTAAATATATATTTACATATTTTAAAATATTGTATAAATAGTATCAGAAAAATCTGTTTTGACTCTTACACTTTCGTGTCGCGCCAGAAATTTGGCAAATTTTTTGCCAAAGTGTACGGATCATATTTTTTTTCATTAAATTTCAGACCAATTAAATTATCGAATTAAATTTATTTCCTTTAGAAATAAATTTTATTTTATAAATTAAGTGTTAAATACACGTTTACATATTTTAAAACATTGTGTAAATAGTATTAGAAAAATCTGTTTTGACTCTTACACTTTGATGTTGCGCAAGAAGTTGCTGGGGTGAAAGAGGGTGGAAGAGCGTCCTCGGATCATGTGAACTCGTAATCGTCATCGCGTCGTGAAGGAGGCGCGACTGCAATGCACATGACGTTTTCGCGTGGAAGCAGTACTTCCGGCCATTATGCTCTCCCGTGGCCTTGATGAGGCCTTGCTCTAAATAGCGAATAAAAGCCGAAGCGCCAAAGCTCCGCGGATCTAAACGCGGCTGTAAACCTTGGCATTTGTGTATCAGATCTGTTAAGCTTTTTCATCAATTTTGACCAATTTTTCACCGAAGAGAATAAATCTCACTCCCGAATCGCGAATGGAAAATGCTCCTTGAAATTCCATTTTTTAGTACATCTTAGCATAATTATATAACAATTATATAACAATATTAAAAAAGAAATTGACGATAAGAAAATACGATAAAAATGTATCTCGAATGAAAAAGGGATCTTTGAAAATCTCGTGAAATGTCTCGTTGATAAAAATAAATTATTAGCAAGCGTGGCCTTTTCGAAAGGGCCAGTCGGAGGCGGAAATTGAAGGTGTCGAGGAAGTGATATTTTAGAGCCATTAATTATCACGGTTCGGATAAATGCAACAAGTCGCACAAGTGCTGCGAACTGTCGATAATAATACGCGAAAGGTCGAAGACTATTGATACGCCATAACTATCGGTTGATGCACGATAGAAACTGGGTCATGAGATGAATCTCTCGCGATGGACCATTATTGTCCGTTCAATTTTTAATTTTGTTGACGAGCTGACAGGAGGAGAATTAATAATAAAAGAAAATAAAAGAAAAGGAAACTAAGTAATATTCAGGTGGAGATATCGAAATTATTCCCAAGATTATTTTGAAAATCGAATTATTGATAATTTTGTATAATAATAATTTTGTAAATTTAATGAAATATTTTTAATATATATATATTTTTTTTATTCAAGATACTTTTATCCTCTGATTACTTGTTAAATTTTATTTCAAATAAAGTTATTAATCATAATTACTGTCTATTTAAATTTAATAAAGTTATTATCTTATGGATTTTTACCTTGTATAAAAAAAATTATTACCAAGCAAAAGAAGTTGCATAAAATTAATTAGAGAGATAGAAATGATATAAATTGTTTAATGCGTGTCATATTTTAAGACAACTAATCGAAAAGGATAATTGATCGAAATCAAATTAATTAAATTATTAGAATGTTTGGAAAACGATGTTTTGAAAAAATAAAAATAAAATTCTTTTTATCTTATATAAAAAAAAAATATTAACAAGCAAAAGAAGTTGCATAAAATTAATTAGAGAGATAGAAATGATAAAAATTATTTAATGCGTGTCATATTTTAAGACAACTAATCGAAAAGGATAATTGATCGAAATCAAATTAATTATATTATTAGAATGTTTGGAAAACGATGTTTTGAGGAAATAAAAACAAAGCCCTTTCCAGTCGCACAATTACAATGGCTTCGTCGGAAATTCGGTTCTCTTGTCGGTTCAATTTTTTTGTGCACATGCGAATATAAGATTATGCTTGCGACTGCAGGATCCGCGGGGGAGGAAGTGGATAGAGGGGACGGGGCGGTGGGAGTCGGCGCAGAATTTAAATTCTCGATCTCTCACGGTCGCTGACCATGGCATTCAGGCAATGCCACCTCACAGAGTGTTGTTGAACGAGTTGAAGATCACTGGCCCCCGGCTGTTTCTCGGTCAAAGCTCGGCGGAGAGCGACCGAGATCGATGACGTATATACGCATGCGAGAGAAATCATACGAGAAGAGGGGAAAAAAAAGATTAAAATTGTCAATGGGCAAGCCTCAAACTTCTTTGGAGCCGCGACAGAGTTGCATTCCAAAGGTTGTCAAGCGTAACTAGGTCTATTCAAATTTTATTCAAATTTAGCAAAGATTACTTTCTTATGGATTTTATCTTGTATAAAAAATTATTAATAGTCAAAAAAATTGCATCAAGTTAATCAGAGATAGAATTGTACATAAAATATACGTAAAATCTACTTCTTGTCGATAGTATGATCTATTCAAATTTTATTCAAATTTAGTAAAATTGTGGAGAGATCTTTCTTGTGGAGGGATTTTAGCTTGTATAAAAAAATTATTATTAATAAAAAAATTGTATTATTTCAGTTAATAAAAGAGATAGAAATGTAATACACGAAACATAATTTTCATGATGATTAAATTTATAACACTGCATACATGTATGCATTACCGATTCGAATTAATTGAATTTTTATTGTCGCTTTATTGCGTGACAATTCCATTTGGAACAATTGCTCTTTCATATAAACTCTCAATATTGTCAATTTTGTGTTACCAATTTATTTTATTATTTTTTTATCATGTATATCAAGTGGCTATCTTGTCCAAATAAATAAACATTTAACTTTTGATTAACTTTTGTATCAAGAGAAAGAAAGAGGAGGTAGTGAATGTAAAAATGATACTCGGTAACTTTTACATTAAATACTTACAATATTAAAATATTTATTTTTAATAAAATATTATTTACATTTTATATTTTTTATGAAAACATTCATTTTTAATTTACATTTAATTACTCTACGTTAAAATATTTGTCATGATAAAAAAACAATAAGATAAACATGAGAAAAAAGAGTACAAATGTTATTCAAAAATTCAAGAATCTACAGACATGGCATTATTCTTATCGATTGCCTAAAAAAAGAAGAATATTCCTGACAGATATCGTTTCTAAATCGTTAATTCAATTACGGTTATTTGTCGCTTTCGCGGTTTACGAAGATAAAAATAAGCGAACGATACGTTCGTTTTGTATTTGCATTTCTCTCGTTGGCTATAATGACAAGTTATTAATCACGATTGTATCAGATTGCGTTAAATGTATATGCGATCGGTCGGCCGGCGAGTCGATCAGCTGGCACGTGTGACACACGCGCGAATTAATATCTCCAGTGGGTTTAAGAGCGGGTAATCGCGGAAAACGACGGGGCCACTTAATCTCTCGGCGACTTTCGAAGCGTGTATCCCTCCATCGGTTGGCATTTATATCGTTTCTGTCGTTGCCCTCCCCAATTTTTTCGAATTGCGTTAACGTTGGCGGGATTTAACGGTAAAAATACGATATTGCGACACTTGTATTTACATTCTCTCTTCCTCATACGATTTTTTCCCTGTGTCAAAACTTTCTAAAAGCCATTAAAGTGAGAAACACTGGATTTTATCTAATAATTTTACAATACAAATTATTATATGTATATTCATATTTTATAGAAAAATATA